GTCTGTGAACTCTTTGCAGACTCTTTTGGGAAGTTTAAAAATCTTTAAGGAGTGGCAATGTACGTCTATGTACCATTGTGCAACTTGCCTTTTCACTCAGCATTGTGTTTTTGAAACGCTTCGCATTGATACATGCAGCTCTATCAGTTTTCCAAAGGGGAGGGGTTGCAGGAAAGCTTATTAACAGCCCGTGATTTGCAGAGGACACAACCTTGCTTGTGAGAAGTGAGGAGGACTTGCTGAAAAAGGTCAAAGATTGCAGCCTTCTGTATGGATGTCAACTCAGTGTAAAGATCTGGAAGCATCGTTGAAGTTGTCCAGGATTTGGTCTTCCTTGGATTCTTAATCAGTGCTCAGGGAAGCAGCAGTCAACAGATGGAGCCACGCATTGCATTGAGTCAATCTGCTGCCCAAAGACCTTGTTCACTTATTGAAAAGCAAGGAGGTTGCTTTGAGGACTAACGTGTGCCTGGTCCAAACCATGGTCTTTCAATCAATGTGAAAGGCGGGCATTGAATACGGGAAACTGAAGAAAGATGGATGCATTTGAATCATGGTGCTGGTGGAGTATCGAAAGCCTCATGGACTGCCAGAAGAACAAACAGATCTGTCTTGGACGAGCTACAGCCAGAATGCTCCCTAGAGGCCAGGATGGCGAGACTTCGTCTTACATACTTTGGACATGTTGTCAGGAGACACCAGTTCCTGGAGAAGGACATCATGCTTGGTAGACTAGAAGGGCAGTGACAAAGAGGAAGGCCCTGGACAAGGCGATGGACACAGTGACTACTACAGTGGTCTCCAACATAATAAGGACAGTGGTGAGGATGGCATCGGACCAAAGAGCGTCTCATTCTGTTGCAGAGGGTCGCGATGAATTGGAACCAACTGGACAGCACCTAACAGGTCAAATACATTTGGGAACCTATTGTTCAGATCAGGGCCCTACTGGCACAGCGGGTGGTGCATTGTGCTGCCAACGTCAAGGTCAGCAAGTTGAAACCACCATCCGCCCTGCAGGAGAAGGACGAGGCTTTCTACTCCCGTAAAAAGTTACAGTCTCAGAAATCCACGGGGGCAGTTCTACTCTGTCCTGTAGGATCACTAGGCGTTGGCATCGACTCGCTGGTCCTGAGTGGGAGCTTTCTATGGTCTCGATCTGGCGTCGGCAGATGGTGGCTCACCAGCCATCTGCAGCTCTTTCAGCAAGTACAGTGGCTCTGGAGGAAGATTGGACATGAAAATAGAACTGTTACTGTTTCATTGTCAGATAACAGTGATCTCATTTGTTTGTAAAAATATATTGATGGCTCCTCATTTCCCCCCTCCCTCACGAACCCTTGATAATTTAT